CTCTAGTAATAAAATAAATTCTAAGAAAGTCTGTAACATTTTTTGGAAGGTTAGTTTTTAAAACCCATTGCATTAGACCACAGAAACTAGGCAGAATTTCCAAGGCTTCTGTCCTAAGATAGTCTTTGAACTTGAATCTGAAACCACTCTCTGTGGTTGTCTTTCATCCAGATAATATATTGGCTTATCAAATAAACAATATCACTGACAAGAACGGTGCTTCCTTAGATAATCAATTATGAGATCAAATGGTCAACATTTATGCTAAAGTAAAAGTGAGAGGTAGGCAGAGACAAGAAGTCAAAATATGGGAACTAAAAAACAGAATGTAAAGCATAAATATCCTTACAAGGTAAAAAAATATAATTCAATGTTACAAAACAAACATGGTTAAATGAGAACCTAATGGGTTATCTAAACTTGTACCTAAAGTACAATTATTATTTTTAAAATAACCAAAATCAATGTTTATAAGGAAATTATATATAATTTGTAGAAATTCACAGACAAGAAAATAATAAAAATCGACAGAAGTCTTCCTATTTTGCAAAATGTTTATTCTTATATGTTGTTATTGTTGAGTACCATCAAACTGGAACCAACTCATAGCTGAAACTCTGGTCGGTATTCAGAGGCAGTTAAGTGCACGGGAGAACTGTTCATCCTTCTCCCGGTAGCAGCTGATGGATTCAAACCATGTGCCTTCAGAATTGCTGCGCTGCTACTTGCCAGTATGCCGCCACCACTCCCTTATTATTAAATAATGGGAGCTACTTCTAAGAATTAAAATTAAAACTTTATATAATTAGCATATACCATGGTATGGTCTTTCTTAATATGTATACAAAAATGACATATTAATAATTGTTGCACATATATAAAATATAACTCATTTTTTAAATTTCAAATTTTTCTGAAATATTTATAAATAAGAAACAAAAACTAAGTCTTTAAAACCGTGTTACAGAGTAAGCATCTCTTTTTATATGTATATATATATTAGGAGACATTTTCCTTCACATAATGAAAGAACATAGAGAATCACTACTGGTGGTCTAGTAGTAAGGTGTTTCGCTGGCAAAGGTGTGCTGTCTGACTCTACCAGCTGCTTCATGCGATAATAAAGATGAGCAATCTCCTCCCATGTGATCAAATGCCTCTGAAAACTAACTAGTGAGTCAGCCACGAGTCAGTTCCAACTCCATGGAACAAAACAACAACTATCAACAGGAGTAAAGAACGCTTTGAAAGAAAGACACTTCCTGTGGCCATGCAATATACACAAGCTGTTTGTTCCTTTATTTAAAAAAGCAAAAATATGAATTTGCTGTCACATGTAAAAACACAAGGAATGATTGCAACTGAAAAGTCAAAAAGTCCAGCAAAACTCGAATTAACTACTCGACTAGCAATTATGGGACCATCAGCAAGCAATACAGTTGCAGGCCTAAAATGACTACTGGACTAACAATTATGAGTCCATCAGCAAGCAATATCCTTTCAGTTGCAGGCATAAATCTACGCGCTACCCTCAAGTTCATTCAGCCGATTAACCCCAATAGATGTCTACAGTTTCAGCCTTGACACAGGTCAACTCAAGATCAAGAACCATGCTTTGTACATGGTATATTCCCTAGGGAGCTTCTCTGCTGACCCAAAGATGGACCCTCTGTGGAGGAGGACAGGCAATCTCCACTTTCCCAAGAGGATACACCTGCTGGAGGATCAAGTCAGTTTCAACTCAAGGGCAACAGTATGAGGGGGGAAAAAAGACCTGGTTCATTTTAGCTACTCAAAAAATAAAGGACTGGGGAAATCCCATAAGAAACATAAGTTTAGCAAGGATATAGAAACTAGTAAAAATAAAGAAAAACTTTATCTCAGTGAAGTTTTTAAACGGTATAATCATGTAAGCTTGGGAGAGAAACTTAATGGCTTAATGGTTAAAGTGTATCTCCTTTCATGTGCCCTCATAGCTAATTTTGATTGGTTTCCTCTATAGGTGCTCAAAGAGAAGTATCTGTTTTCTGGCAACAGACTTCATGCCAAGCACAACTATTCTAAGCTAAACCCCTGTGATGCTGGATCAAAGTTGAAACAATGTACATTTACTGTGTGGACTCTTGTAGCTAGCAGTGTGGGCCCCTTCCAGGTTCTTTTTACTGCAGGAAGAAACTGCTTCAAAAGCAACAACCTCTCCCCCCAGCCCCCACCTTGATGCATCTAAAATAAAATTTCTCTTAACAGTAGATGTGAATCTTGACCCAACAGGTGACACTAGAAATAAAACTGCAGTATCTCATGCAAAATTCTCTGTCTCTGAGTCCCCTGCTGGGTTAAGTTACTGTGACAGCAAAGTGCTATCTTAATTGGAAATTTTCATTATTTGAACTAATGAGCCATTGGTCCACACCTTGAATTTTCTTAAAATGTATAAAAACACTCAAACCTAACAGCACAACAAACCAGCAAAACTATACATAGATTTGCATGACAACATACGCAGAAATTTTTGTAAAGCACAGTTCCTCCTTGCTTTTATCATTAGAATACTATTAATTCAGATATATTCATTCTAATGTTAAGCTCAAGGTATCTTTCAACGGATGCAAATAACAGTATCATCTAAAAAATAAAATATTAGCTTGTTTTTAACTTTTCTACTGTGACTTAAATCTACATGAACATTTATTTACTTTCAGAATAAATTCTTGTTTTAAAAATATTTTCAAATGCACATGTTACCAAGTTATTTCAAGTAATTAAATGTAGAAAATACTGGAAAAGAATAAAATAAGGTAATATAAATTTGATATAAATTTAAATTTTATATAAATATAAAAACTCAGCATTTTTCTGAATAATTAGTATGTTAACATTTTGAAACTAGATAAGCCAAAGACACTATTAATCTATTGGTTGAAAATATGTCTTTCTCCCTACACATAATTTTATTATTGTTTATAAATTGGAATATTTAAAATGTGCGTGGGTGGGTCCTGGGCCCCAGCAACTACTACAGCTTTGCCAGCCAGCAGCAAAAACCAGAGGACACCACCATCCCCTCCACAGAGCTAGCCAAACAAGTCATCGAGTACGCCCGGCAGCTGGAGATGATTGTCTGAGTCCACTGGGCATTAGAGGGGTGGGTGGGGCACCCATTATTTAAAGCTGTATGGTGCATCTTTTTTCCAATAAAGATGGATTGACAGTCCAAAAAAAAAAAAATAAATAAATAAATAAAATGTGCATGAAAACATTTCAAAAGTTTAAAATATGTCCAAATGCATTTAATTAGGATTTTAAAAATCTGTATTTTACATAAGTGTTTCATAATTTCATATTCTTCACAGAAATCAATGCCAATTTTTTGTTAAATACAATAAATATCATTACCAAATGGCTATAAATAAACTTCAGCTCCATCCCAACTCCTAACTTGCTCTATAAAAAGCAACCTCCATGGCTGACGATTTTTTTGTTGTTGGTAGTATGCTTTGTTTCTTTCCAACTGGATTCAATATTTAAAATTAAAGAACGAAGGAAATTTTAAAAAGGAGTTCTGGATGAACAGTATATAGTATGTCGTGTCACTGAGTACCGCTGATTCTGAACTGACCCATAGCTGACTCTCTAGAGGGTTTTCAGAGGCAGTTAATTGCACAAGAGGAGACTGCCCATACTTCTCCTAGGGAGCAGCTGGTAGATTCAAATTATGTGCCTTTGGGATTGCAGCACAGTTTCTTACCCCTGTACTGCTAATCAAAGATTGCACATATGGTGGCTGTGATAATAAAAAAGTCAAGAGTTCAAATCTACAAGTTGCTTGAGAGACTAAAATGGGCAGCTTCCTCCCATTAAGACTACAGCCTCTGACACCTAATGGAGAGTTGCAATGAGTTGGATAGCAGTGAACTATGGTAATCACACAGCAACTAACATATGATGGTTCCAATTATTATTATATAAAGCTTCAAAAAGATGCTTATTTATAACTGTAAAATGTGGTCTGCCATCAAAAAAAGTCACACTACTAGCTTTTACAAATGCCAACTGTTTCTCAATCTGATGTAAATAGTTATGAATATCTAAAAATCTTTTTAAGAAATGTGCTTATTATTAAAAATACAGATTATATTAATAAAGAATACACTAAAAAAACCCTCTCTCGAAGAAAAAAAATTCTTGAATGCTTTTATAATTATGCACAGTGTTCTATGAAGAAGAACAAACTAAATCTAAGTGGACAAATTGACAGAAACTACTTTCAATTTTACTGAAACAAAATTAAGACAAATTTAAGATATATACCAAAACAAAGCATTCATTTAGTTCCATTATTTAGAATAATTATATTTTTACAAATTTATGTCAGAAACAAATCTTACACTGAAAAACAAGGAACTCATAAACTATCACACAATATGGGTGACCCTGGAAGACATTATGCTGAATGAAATATCTCAGTCACAAAAGGACAAATACTGCACAACAACATTTATAAAATAATAGGACTGACATAGGGATTGGGAGAAACCAAGAGAAGAAGGGATAAATAATGAATACTGCATTGGAATAGATGAAGGAAAGAACTATTTAAAAGGACTATATGATTATATATACAACATCAGCACACTGCAAAGAGGACTGGGGTAGGAGGGGGTGTGGGAGGTAGCTGTGCAAAAATAAATGATTTTTTTTAAAGTGAACTGGGGGAGGGATAAGGGAGGGGGCTAAAATGGCAACAATTAATGAAAATCTAACTTTTCTGAAAATTACAATTACAATGAAAATTTAAAAAATTATCTGAAATAAAGAAACCTTGCGGTCCTGGTGTTTCCTGAACTACATAATTGCCTAATGAAAATAATTCTACCATCAAAAGTGAAAAATCTTTTAAGAATAATAAAATAGTATTCATTCTGCCATTTTCATACAATGAGATTGCATAGTTCAAGTTCTCCAGGGCTTGAAAAAAACAAATTTAAATAGTTTCTTACCTTCTGTGTTCGGTAAAAAGCTGATTATAATGATAAACCACAGACTTCGCATTCTGCAACCAGAAGACACCATTATTGATCCTTTAAATATTTTCTTTGTATTCCTTAATGAATCTAGTTATATATGCCCAGCTTCATCGAACCCAGCAGTCTGCATCATTGATCCTCATATCTGAAAAACAAACAAATCCATCATTTACTCTATGATCCTGCACCACAACAAAAATATAGAAAGATAATAGCAAATCTTTCCCACTCATCTTTCCCCCTTCCCCTCATATAAAATATAATGGTTTATGTTTTTAATTTATCCACTACAGAAGCTGCTTCATTATACTAGATATCTGAAAAACCTCAAAGCCCAAAATACATTTATAAGCAAGAATGATATATTAATTAATATAAAAATTATAATTCCTGATTAATTTTTTCTTTACAAATCATATGTAAGACCTAGAAAGTGATTCCTGATTAATAGAGCATATGCATCCCCATGCCACATAATTTTCATCTTATTAAAGTCCTAGATACAGTATATAACAAAATTTTTATCTATATATACTTTATGTGTCTAGTGTTTGGAAACAGTAACAGTATCCATTCTTTTATCCAATTACCTCAGGAGATAGATTAGACTTTGTGTATTTTTCTACAGCAGAGTAATAAAGGGGTCTGCCATTATAATTCGTATATTAAAGGTACTCTAAAAATACCACATTTCTGAAAATCATACATCAAAGTATTTCTGTTAACTGCTATTTATTAGAAGTTAAACAACATAGTTATCTTTTAAAACATTTTTTTAACATAAAGATTTTATACATTGCTTTTTCTTAAAGTAGAGTATAAGCTATCTAATAAGCTCAAAACCAAGCCCTTGTTGGTACAATAGGGTCGCCAAGACCAGATTTCAGTGAGATTGCCTAGTGTTAGTTAGGTGAAAAGAACCACAAAGCAGATGGAGATTTTGTGTTATTTTTTTTTTCTCCTCCTAAGAAAACATGTCTTCATCCTATTGCAAGAAAAACTCTGGTCCTGTAAGTTGTTTTCAAGGGAAGAACCTACTTAAACTGATAACGTGATACATTCTCCTATTCTTCAACCACTCTATGACCTCAAGAGGCAGCAAACAGCCTTCATCCAGAATTAGACTTTAACCAGTATGCAGAGATACGAACTACACATGCACACATAGGTCTAGAAACCTTTTCCATCTAATCCATATTGAAAGACTGAATACACAAACACCTCATTTCCATTATCTCACCTAGATAATTTTGTTCCTGGATAACCTCCTTCTCCCCAGACAATTGCTCAACACATAGAGATGTATTTATTAGCACTAAAAAAAAAAAGAAAAAAAATTCCACAATGAAACTCATTGTGTTTTGTCTCCCTCAGAGAGAAAAGAGGCTTGTGTTGCTAAGGCTGCTCCTCTCAAGAATTTCCTTTCTCACTAATAAACAGTATACCTAAACGAGTGTCTCATCTCCTCATCTTTTATTCAACTTGAAGAGAATGCTCACATCTTAACAATCTGTAACAAAGACTCTGAACCAAAAGGAAACCCAAAAGTCATGACTATATCTGAAAGGTTGTACTAGTAATTTAAAAAAGAGACAGTGAGTACCTAAATTAATCACAGTTTTCCTTAGTTTTGGGGTTTGCATAAGATCACAGTAGATGGTGAAGCCCTAACTGGGTTTTTAATGTTATTCCAAAGTAATACTGAAGAGACACTTTACAGTACCCTTGTAATACATGAACATGCAACCAGTCCTCAACTATCCACCCTACTGATCTCGCCTCTGAGAGCAAAGAAACTGACACATTTTCCCTGACAATGACATCTTAGTCTCAGTATAATCAAGCTTCTTCAAGCTATTCTTAATCTGCAAAGAGTAGAAGAGACTCCGACTCCCAAGTTGAGGTTGGTTGAGTAACTCAAATGAACTATTTTTAGACAATGTCAGTAAAGCATAAGAGAAAAATTTAGAAAATAAAAATTTCCTTATTAATTTAGTCATTGATTTCACATATTATTTCACATTATTCCTATTATGCTGCATTTACTATTCCAGCTCACTATATTCTATTTTCCATTCACTATAATGTAACTTTACACAGTGACTGTAACAATGGGCTCAAGAACTGCAGAGATCATGAGGGTGACATGGTGCAGGATCGCCAAGGGCACAGTTTTTATCTGTTGTTCATAGGGTCATTATGAACTGTAGTTGACTCAATTGCACATTAAAAAAAAAAAACAAAAACAAACCCCTAACTTCACTGAACAAGCAAAATCTGATGATTTGAATGTCTTATGATATTATAATAAAGCCACTGCATTGCTTTACAAAGAAAAACAGGGGGGAAAGATTAAAAATATCTAATGGGAGAAGGGGAGGAAGTATGTGTGTAGAAAGAGGAGGAAAAATAAACATCTAGCAAAATAATTGTATATCATGAGTTAGGCAACATCAAGATAAATGGAGAAGTACTGTTTATTTCCTTTTACTTAGATCTACAATCAACATCCATGGGAACAGCAACCAACAAATTATAAAATGTACTCTACTGGGTAAATCTGCTGTCGAGGACATCTTTGAAATGCTAAAGGCAAGGATGTAAGTTTAGAGGCTAAAGTGCACTAGAGGAAAGCCATTGCATATTCAACTGCTTCATATTTATGATAAAATTCAAAGGCACTGATGTTTCTTCTGTACTTATTAGTTACTGTCCAGCTTTCTAATGTATAAAAAGTAAATGCAAAGACCATCACCTGGATCAGGTGCACCTTAGTCTCTAGACTGACACCGTTGCTCTTCAGCATTCTGGAGAGGCCCCTGTTAAGAGATTTTTCTAATGCAATTCATCTTTTGATTGTCTCACTGCTGGTGCCACGAGTGCTGACAGTGGAAGTTAGCAAGATGAAATTGTTAACAAGCTCAATCTCTTCACCATCTACCATGATGCTGCCAAACAGCCCAATTGATGAGAATCTTTGTTTTCTTGATGTGGAGATGCAGTCCATATCGAAGACTGCAGACACTGACCTTCTGTAGCAAATTGTTCAGGTCCTCCTCAGTCCTGGCAAGCAAGATTGTGTCATCTGCATAATGCAGATCATTGATGAATCTTCCTCCAATGCTGATGCCACGTTCTGTCTCATAAATCAGTGCAGCTTCCCAAATGATGCATTCTACATATAGACTGAAAAGTTATAGAGACAGGATACACTCTTCTCCTGATTTGGAACCATGCCGTGTTTCCTTGCTTTGTTCTGAAGACTGATTCCTGGTCCAAATATAGGTTTCAAATAAGCACAATCAAGTGATCTGGGGACACAATTTGTTATGATCCATACAATCAAATGTCTTTGCATCGCCAATGACACATAGATATTTTCTGGTACTCTGTGCCTTCAGCCAAGATCCATCTGACATTTGCTCTGATGTCCCTAGTGCCGTGTCCTCTTCCAAATCTAGCTTGCACTTCTGCTAGTTTTCTATGTATCATGGTTCCAGTTGGTTTTGGATCATTTCAGCAGGATTTTGCTTACATGTGATATTATTCTATTTCCACACTCTGTTGGATCACCGTTTTGGTGAATGGGAATGAATAAGTAACTCTTCCAGTCAGCTGGCCAGGTAGTTTTCCTCCAAATTTATTGGCACAACCTTCTCAGCACATCCAGGGCTGCATCTGTTTGCTGATATATGTCAACTAGTATTCCATCAATTTCTGGGACTTTGTTTTTTGCCAATTCCTTCAGAGCAACTTTAAATTCCTCCATCATCACTGCCTCTTGATCATATGTTGTTTTATGAAATTCTTCTTTGTCAGCTAATTCTTTTTTTACTGTGATGTTTTTGTATTCTTCTATCTTCTTTTGATGCTGCCTGGATCATTCAATATTCCACAGACAGTATCCTAAGCTTTGCAACTCGAGGTTTGAATTTGTTCTCCAGTTTCTCCAGCTTAAGTAATGCTGACAGAGTTCATCCTTTTTGATTTTCTGATTCTAGCTCTTAGCACATATTATAGTACTTCACTTGGTCTTCCCATGCTGTCCTTTGAAATCGTCTGTTCACCTGCTTAGTTTCCTGATTTCTTGCTTTGCTTTGGCTTTTCTGCCTTCCAGTGAAATATTTAGAGTCTCTTCTGACATCCATCTTGGTCTTTTCTTCTTCTTCCATCTCTGTAATGACCTTTTGAATTCTTCATGGATGATATTCTGGATATCCTCCCACAGCTCCTCTAATATTCATTCATTAGTGTTCAAGGCCTCAAACCTGTGCCTAGATGGTTTTTAAATTTAGGTGGGACAGACTTTAGGTCAAATTTTGGTTCTTGTGGATTTGTTTTCATTTTCTTTCGTGTCAGTCTGAACTTGCATGAGCTGTTGATAGTATATTCCACAATTAGTACCTGGCCTAGTTTTCACAACTGTTATTGAGCTTCTGCAATGATCCTTCCACAGATGTAATCAATCTGAGTCCTGTGTAGACCATTAAGATCATGTAAAAGTTGAACAATGAATAAAAAAAGAGCCAAAGAACAAATGCCTTTGAATTCTGCTGATAAAAGAAGAGTACTGGATATACAATAGCTTAAAAAACAAACAAAAAAAAAAAACCCCACCAAACAAATGTGCCTTGAAGGGCACATAAGGTACTCTTTTGAGGAACTACTGCTAAAACTTTCTTTTTGGACAAGTTTTCATGAGGCCACAGTGCTTGGAAAGCAGCATCATACTTGGAAAAAGAGCGGGTCAGTAAAAGAGAAGACTTCACTGAGATGGGTTGGCACTACGACTATAACCATGGGGTTGGACACAGCAAAGATTGTAGAAGTGGCACAGGATCAGATAAGGTTTCACTCTAATGTACACAGGAGTTGCTATGAGTGACTGTTGACTCTATGGCACCTAACAAGAATGTATTATAATAGAAAAATTGCTTCACCTCATACTCTTTCATTACTCTAATCAGTTCAATATTTTCATTATCTCCCACCCAAGTACTATTCACGCCCAGTCCTGCTTAGGTTCTGAGGTCAGAGGAGATTGGGCACTTTCAGGGTAGTATAAACATAGACTATTTTTGTTATCTCTAAATGCCATTAACATCTTTGTTGTTGCGTACCATTTAGTCAGACTCATAGTTGACC